CCAATCACCTTTGTTGTTTGTGCAACTAACCAATCATAAATAGAAAGGAAGTGACCAGAAATTATCAAATACTTGGAATTGGCTCTTTCACAGGAAGTGTATGAATATCTCGAGGAACTTGATGAAATGAATTGGTCAGCCCTGAGGTAATGTATTGAATCAATATTTGAGGAACACTTCAATTGGAACGACAGTAATGGGCCGGACAAAATTCCAGATGAGCTAACCCGGTGTCCCAGCAGATTTGGACCCCCCTCAGAATGGACCCCCCGGTCCAAATCCGCTAGCGAATATGGACCGGGCAGTCCATATCTATGGTCCATATCCGCTAGCGAATATGGACCTATGGGGGGTCTTTATTCGCTATAGCGGATTTGGACTCCCTCGCGAATTCCTCGCATATTTTATCATTGCGACGCAGGGTTCCCGTCATCTATAGCGTAGACAATCACCGGCTATTTCTCCAGATTATAAATAGAGGATATTACACGTCGGTGCGAAGATATGACTTTTTATCTCTCACTGTGTATTTTTCAGTATCTCACTCTCTACTATATAATAATTAAACCAAAATATTTCCTTCTTATCAAAGAAATATCAAAGGTTTCAATACTTCTATAGCATAAATTTTACCTGATATTCTTTTCTAAATATTTGGATATGACAAAATCTACAAAAGGGGGTCCTTATCCGCGGGGAGTCCAAATCCGCTTTGAGACTAGCCCCTTCCACTTCGTGGAACAAGTCTGCAAAGTGAGACAAAATCTATTTGTCGACTGTCCCTTATACATACATACACCATGCACATGATGCATACAGTATAATTGCCATTGGGTTATTCAAGAAAATATCCTCACCTGGAGCTCCCCCATGGAGGAAATTGGAATTTAACCCAGGCCTTTAAGCGGCATTCATCCAGATGCACCTTCCTTATTATTTTGCTCTGCATTAAGCCAGACGAGGGTTATTCACTTTAGATGTTTTAGATATTAATTATTTAGTACCAGACACTTACTTTCTCTTTTCTGGAACAACCCAATTGCAATAGACCTTTCCCCTTTTGAGTGGAATTTTGATCTAGACAAGTCTGGACAAAAATTTCATCACAGCTTGAACAAGCATCACAAAATTAGTAATATTCCGAAGTTTCGTTGCGAAATGTTGTAAAATGCGGATAATATAGCCTTGCGAAGTTTGCCGTTTTTCAGTAATTTTGTATTACAAATGGGAAATTGATAATCAGTTTGATCATCTGATTATCAATTTCCCGTTTGTAATGCAAAATGACTGAAAAACAGCAAACTTCGTAAGGCTATATTATCCGCATTTTACAACAATTCGCAACGAAACTTCGGAATATTACTAATTTTGTGATGCTCTTTCAAGCTGTGATGAAATTTTTGTCCAGACTTGTCTAAATCAAAATTTCACTCAAAAGGGGAAAGGTCTATTAATATATTATATATATACATTTACGCCCGTATTCTAAAAGCTCACTCACACTCAATGAGTGAAGGTTCAATATGAGCTTCTCTTGAGTGTCGGTGCTGTTTTTGAATAGCTGGAGGGTTAGTGTCGTACCTTACTATGTGACTACTCACCCTCCAGCTATTCAAAAACAGCATTAACGCTCAAGAAAAGTTCAGATTGAACCTCCACTCATTGAGTGTGAGTGTGAGTGAGCTTTTAGAATACGGGCGTTAGACCAAGTATCTATGATTTGCTTTTTAATATATTTAATTTAAATTGAATTGCTAGACTTCTTGCCTATGAATTGTGATGCCTGTGAAAAAACATTCTGGTATGTTGAGTGGACCATACAGTATATCTAATATTATAATATTAATTAGGACCTGTGTTATTGGGCAATATATTGAAGTCAACGACCCATGACTCTGATAAGTAGTATGTCTTCAAAGCATACTGTAGACAAGATACCGGTAATTTACTCAATGATAACAATTATTTGCGTTGTTATCCTTGTACTATTCACTAACACTGACTGGTGAATAACTAATCCATCAACCTTGGGGAGAGTTTCGCATGCGTTAATACTGTATGTTAATTTGTGCAATGGTGTGAGACCAAGATTTATTAATATTTTCTCTGAGGTGGTTTTGCATTCTCTTTCATTGACATGAGGGAGGGGGATGTGAACTTTTGCAATTTGGTACAAAAATATAACCTTTCCATTTAAGTGTAGTTACTATAGTCAGTGACACGTATTACATGTACATCCAAATCATCCTGCATTTCATCCCACATTAATAATTTTACACAAGTCAGCCCCTTTAAATTTATTTAGTATACTCTAATCTGTCAGCTTGTTTAATTTCATAATTATTGTTATTTTCTTGTGTGATGCAAAAAGTTTAGTGGATATTCTGCCCCCGCTGGTTAGAATTGTATAGTCCAGCAAAGATCACAACAAAGTTTTACAAATTTATTATATATTCTCTCAATCACAGTATATTAAATCACTCCCGTTTCGGTCTTGCTATATGTCCCGTCCCCCTCTATTTTGGCTCAGTTCTCTCTCACCTATTGACAGCCGTCACCCATGTAACTATATGATTAAAGATCGTCTAATTAACTAGATAACTAATATTAACTATGAGATAATAAAACTTGACCTGTCTCCAACACACTCCCCCCATGAACTTGGGAGAAGTTCATGTTATCTATAAAACCCAGTCACGCCTTTAAACAGAACATAACAAAATTAAGAGTAAATGTTTTACTAAAGTCAAATCTCATACTGTTCGAGTTCCATTTTTTCTCCTGGATCCTATCATTTGCTGCGACTGACACATCTCTTCGTTGACGGAATGTCGGGGCGTTTAATTCCGAGCCTTTCTTCTTTTCCTTCTGTACGTCGCAGGACAACTCTAAGGGATAAAGGTGTTGTTCAGGACGTTCAAGTTCTCCATTCTCGGTTGTAAGCTTCACTGCTCGCATCACTCCATCTTTACCTGGGAATGTTTCGGTCACCACTGCAGTGCTAGAGGCCAGCAGCCGCGGTTCTTGTCATCGGTCCGAATGATTACAACCTTTTGGCAACTTGGAAAACCGTGTTTCCAGACATCATGTTGTGGCGTTCTCTTAGTGCTGTCAGATATTCTCGTCTCCACCTATTCCACAGCTGGTCTTTGCAGTTTCTTAGGAACTTCAGTCTCTTCCGGAGATCTCTGTTTCCTTCGTTGTGAGGTTGAGCTTCTGGTAGTTGGTTGGGTCCGGTAACTCCACATTATCTTCAACGTAGCTCAAGGGACGACGGTTTATTTGCTTCTCTACGTCAAGTAACACTTCGCTCAGCTCGTTCCAATGTAAAATTCCTTTCCCAATCACCTTTCTCATTGCACCTTTAACCACTCTGATAAGCCGTTCGAACTGTCCTCCCCATCAGGGGGCTCGAGACAAATTAAAGATCCACTTGATGTCGTTCTCTTCCGGGTGGTTGAGAACACGCTCGTCCTTTTGAGCTTTCTTAAGCCATTTTGCTGCTGTTATGAATGTACCGCCGTTGTCACAATAGATCACCCGAGGTCTACCGCGTCGAGCAATGAATCTCTTCAAACAGGGGACGAACGTTTCTGTCGTTAGATCAGGAAACAGTTCCAGATAAACTTCTCGTGATAAACTACACGCAAAGATTACTAGATAGGCTTTCGACTCTTTCTTTGTTTTCTTGTACCGAATCGGCCCAGCAAAATCGACTCCTACGACTTCGAACGCTATTTTCCCGTCTGTTTGATTTGTTGGAAGATAGCCTGGTGCTGGAGTCTTGATCGCTATTGACCGAAACCGCTTGCATCCCCAGCATTCGCTTCGTATCGTTTTCACCAGTCGTCTTAGTTTCGGAACCCAATACGCCTCTCTTTAATACAGCAGCCATGGTCAGACCGACACCGCCGTGTAAGGTGTTGACGTGAATACTCCTGACTAACTTCTTTGTGAATGTTGCTTTCGTTGGCAGGTAAATTGGGTGCGCTCCTTGTACTCTACCATGGCATACCAACATCCCGTCCTGGTTCTCTTTAAGGTTGAGAACTTCCTTCGTTTGGGCGAACTGGAAATTGTTGCTGTCCGCACTCTGGATGCGTTTGATCCACCATCGTTTCGCCTCTTCCGTTTCTGAGGGATTCAAAGGGCCCTTCCGTTTCTCACGCTTCTTGCAATTGTGGACGAATCGGAGTACCCAGGCAGTGATTCTCAGCGTTGTACGCAATTCGTTTCTTTCCAAAACGAGATCTAAATCATCGCTCTCGTTCGTTGTCTGTGTTGTGCACAAGACCTCGCGGACGATCTTTGCTTCAGCTTGCGATTCTTTCGATGATTGGACTTTCTGGCCAATTCTCAGGCGTTCCTAACCACTTTGGGCCGTTCAACCACAGATCCGTTAACTGCCCTCCTCTGCTTCCCAGATCTGCGGGGTTCTGATTTGTTGGAACATAATGCCACTTGACTGAGGTGTGAGAACGACCCTTTGCAACACCGATATTCCCCTGTTCCTTCAATCCAGTAGAGGGCAACAGTACTGTCCGACCACAGTGTTGTTCGGTGACCTTGTCTTCTCCAATCGCTTTCTCAACATTTTTCACTAGATTCACCGCCATGTGCCCCGCGATAAGTTCTAGCCTTGGAATAGTAAGTCCTCTCTTCGCCAGACGTGATTTGGCCGCGATAAGCATTCGTGTCTCTCCCGAATCTTGTTTGCTCACCCGGTAAACAGCAGCAGAAACTCCTTGACCACTCGCGTCTCCGAAAGCATGGAGGTGGATTTCTGTTATGGGTTCACGGTATGCAGCTATTGATCTTGGTACGGTCACAGATAAGGGCATTGATTGTTCCCATGACAACCATCGTCTTCGTAGATTACCTTCGAGTTCTGCATCCCACGATAGATCAATTTTCCTTGTAAGGTAATAGGAGATGCAAGCCCTAGTGGATCGTAGGTCTTCGCGAGTCTACTTAATATTTCTCGTTTGGTTGGCGTCTTGCTCTCTTCGTTTAGAAACAGAGCACTTAGTGTGTCGCTTACTTTGTTCCACGGCAATCCGAGGATCTTGGATTCTTGTGGATTTACTGCCAGTTGTTTCTTCGCAGCTGTTTGGTCTTCGATTACTTCAATCAATCAATATTTTATTTTCGAACTCATCATCGTTGTCTTCAAGTGCACTTACGTTCGAAGCCCATTTATGGAGTTTGAAGGTTGCGTCTTCGAGAATAACGGTTGGCAGCTCTTTCCGAGCTTTCGCTTGTTCCACAGATTCCCCTCCACTTATGATGTCATCAACGTAAAGACACCGTTCTAGTTCTTTTACGTCATCAGGTCGTTCACGTTTCCATTGTTGTAGGTGTGAAGCTATGACTCCCCCGAGAAGAAATGGCGATGAGACGAGGCCAAACAGAACTCTAGTAAACCGAAGGATCCGTAACTCTCCGTTCTTTGTCGTCCAGTGGAACCGTAGTGCATCTCGTTCCGTTTCTCTGATGCGGATCTGAAGGAATGCTTTCGTGATGTCTCCCGTTATAGCAACAGGGAAAGTTCGCTGTCGTACGAGGACTTCCTACTTCTTATTTTGTAAGGGTGGTCCAGGATTAAGGCAATCGTTCAATGAAGGATCTTGTGGGAATGGTTTCGTGGACGCGTCGTACACCACTCGGAGCTTTATCGTCATGTCGTGGCAGCGCTTTCTCGGATGACTCCCTTGTGGGGTATATAGAACTCGACTCCCATCACTCGCGTTGGTGCTTCTTCGACGATTCCTTGTTGGATTTGGTCTTCAATCACAGCGGCGTAAGGTTCTGTGAGATCTCGTTTTTTCAACCGGTTTTGAAGAGCGGTAAGCCGTCGCAAACTTCCTTCCCGGTTGTCCTTAAGGGGTGGATGGTTCCCTCTCCACGGTAGTCCCGTCTCGTACCAATCTTCAGGTGATCTGTTCAACTGCTCTTTGAATTCTTCGTAAACTGTCAATTGGTCGTGCTCGCTTTTATCTTCGAGTCCAAGGACATCTAGTCGACAGAGGGCTTCATAATCAGCCTGGGAAGTTTGGGTCAACAACATTTTTTCTTCGTCGAACTCGGTACCAGGACTCATCACAAACCAACCCAGTTTTGTAAGCTCGGCTATTGGTTCTCCTTCGTTTCCAACTCGTGGTCTCTCTTGGGTTTTGACACGTGCATACTCTCCACTTCCCAGGACGACGTGGATTGGAAGGGATTTCTTGGTCTCGTTCAGTTTCACCTCGTTCAGATGCTGGTACTTCTGCAGAAGATTCTTGTATTGGAGGTTATGGACAACTAATAACTGACTCTTATTTACTTTCGTCAAGTTCGTTTCGAGTTCGTAATTAGAGTCAAGTGCTTGCACCTTGACTTTATAAACCTCGAGATGGGTAACCTGTGACGTCATCAACATGTCAATTCGGGTGGTTTTTGTTTCCATGGGCTTTAGTTTTAGGGCATCTATTAATTTCGCAGAAGCATAGGAGCTTCCTGCACCAGAATCTATAAGTGCTCTGCATGTTACACCGTTGACGTTTACGACTACGACTTGAAGAATAGCCTCGCTTCCGGTTTTACTTGTCATACCCATCAGGTTGACCTTCGAGTTGGTATCACAGATGGACGTATGATGTCTCTTTTCGCAGTTTTGGCATGAACGCTTGCTTGGACAGTTCGCTGCTTTGTGGTTACCGGCTGCGCAGTTAAAACAACGTTTTTTCTTCGCTAAAATCTCCTTGCGAGCACTAACGTCAGTAATTTTGCTACACGAAACGGTTTTGTGGTCTCTTCCCTCGCAATATGCACACGTACGCTCTGGCGCTTTCGAGAAAAGCAACTTTCTTGATTTTCATCCCTTTCATTTGTTTCAACGATCGGATTTCTTCGTGCCCATAATCGGAGAGCTTCGGATAATTTTGAGAAGTCCCAGTCTTCCCAATCTGGGTCTGTGCGCACTAAATCCCCCCTGATCGCTTGAAGTTTATCCAAGGTCATGGGTACATAACCATTCACCGTCTCTAATTTCTTTAAGGTTTGAAGCGCTTGGACAGCATGCATCAACTGATCGTTAAATTGATGTATTTTCTTAAGGTAAACCTGATTGATAGTTGGCAGATCCATAATTAGTTGGACGTAAGCCTTAATGACTTCTGAATTCTTGCCATACCTATTTTGAAGTATGGCTTTGGCGCGATTATAACCCTCGGGGTCGAAAGGTAAGCCTTCGATGAAAGTTTTAACTTTGGGCGACAAAAACGCACACAAATAGGCCAATTTATTTACCGGCGCTACGCAACGTTTGTCCACAGTCTCAGTAAACTGACCCCAAAATCTTGGCCAATCAAGGGGCGACCAATTGAATCTTGTTATCTCAATCTTGGGACGTTTTGCGCTAACCAATTCGGCATTGTCTACATTTTTATCATTCTTTAGAGCTGGTACAGGGTTTGCGTCAAGCTTTTGTTGATGTAATTTCATTTCAAACCGTATCCTACCTTTCTTCTCTGCGGCATCTCTTTCTGCTTCCTTCCCTTGGAGCCTTTGCTTGATTCGCGTTACTTCGTCGTCCGCCGCTTCGATTCTCTCGTCAACAGATGCCTCGAATTCCGCGATCGCTTCGAGTCCTTCGAGATCGGTTTTATCCGCAAGTTTCAGCTCTTCGACTGTTCGTTTACATTGATCGACTTCGCTAGTTATCACTTTAAGAGCGCTCAGATGACGTTCAATTGCCTCCTCTTTGCCTTCTCTAAAATACTCGCCGTTTTCTTCACAGATAGTTCTAGCTGTGTTAACTTAACCTTTAGCTTCGATTCTGCCAGTTCCATAGTCACATGTAAGATTTACCGCAGTAAATACAGATACGTTAAATCCCGTGTCGGAGGTGCCAGATTTAGTGGATATTCTGCCCCCGCTGGTTAGAATTGTAGTCCACCAAAGATCACAACAAAGTTTTGTAAATTTATTATATATTCTCTTCAGTCACAGTATATTAAATCACTCCCGTGTCGGTCTTGCTATATGTCCCGTCCCTCTCTATTTTGGCTCAGTTCTCTCTCACCTATTGACAGCCGTCACCCATGTAACTATATGATTAAAGATCGTCTAATTAACTAGATAACTAATATTAACTATGAGATAATAAAACTTGACCTGTCTCCAACAAAAGTTTATACATGGAAAAGTGTTGTGTGCATGTGCATGCATTAATGGCCTGAGCACTATTATTTGTCTTTACCTTTAGTAATGATCATGTTTCCTATGATTCACATAACTGTCAAAGTGCTTATAAAAAGGT